TATATATATCTGTCTAGACACAAAAAGGGACATGACTCCATTTACACGATACAGAAATAGCAAATCTATACAGGTAGAACATAGATTAATGGTTAATTGGTTAATGGTTACCAGAGGCTGGGGAAAGCAGTGACTGCAGGTGTTTCATTTTGGAGTGATGGCAATGGTTCAGAACTGGATGAAGGTGATCATTGCTGAACGTTCTAAGTGTAATAAATGCCAGTGGATTGCTTATTTAAAAAGAATTACTTTTGCAGGGCGTGGTGGCACACGCCTTTAATCCCAGCACTTGGGAGGCAGAAGCAGGCGGATCTCTATGAGTTCAAGGCCAGCCTGGTTTACATAGAGAGTTCCAGGTCAGCTGGGACTACAGAGAGAGCCTTTCTCAAAAAATAATAATAAAATAAATAAATAAAGTTACTTTTATGCTATGTGAATTTCACCTAGATTTTTTAAAAAGTTGAACTGCCCTCTTTGCCCTTCTCGGGTCTTAGACTCTTCCTAATGGATCCAGGGCAAAAGAAACACCCAGTCATCATCTTGAGGGGGAGGGGTAAATGCCTTGTCCGAAGAAAGGTGTCTTGTCCCACTGTGGTTTAGCGGCTGTGCACGCCTACGCGAGAGTTGGTTCCCACCGGGTCAGCATGCAGAGTCTGAGCCAGGTCCTGAGGTCGGTGCGGGCACAGTTCGGGTCCCGGGGCGGGGAGCGCACACAACCTAGGAGGAGGCACATCCCGCCAATTAAAACACAAAAGTTGGCGCTGAACTCAGCGTGGGAGGGGGGTGCTGTTCCCAGCATCATGGAGTCCTACAAGGAAAGGGTTCCTGTCAGGCAGGAGGCTCGCACCGAGCTAACTCCGGTCCACGACTGCCTCATCCTCGGTGTGGGGGGAGAAATGCCTTCTTTGTTGTTCTGGGAACAGTTTGCCGGGCCACTTCGGGAGCTACTTGGCAGAGGTGAGGCCGGGCAGCGCCGCGGCCGGGGGATGCCCGCGGGGATGGGAGTTCCTCGGTCAGCGCACGACGACGGCAGCGAGCAGGGCCCGGGCGGCCAGGGCGTGGGGGGGGGGGACTGCGCGGGGCCGCGCTCCCGCCCTCCGCTGCGCCC